CCCCAGGCTCTTTTATTCAGATTTTGTGCAAACCCAAGTGTTTTCATGACCCAACCTTTGCCTAAAGCCCTATGGAAACTTAATGGCCTGGTGGTACCAGTGGTGTTTATGTGGACATTAGCATCCTCAGGACTTGGTCAATTGCATCTCAATCACATATGCCTCAACCAGGCTAGGGAGACTCTACTCATATATATATGTTTGGGGGCAGTGGATTCTATCACAGGACAGAGGGTTTCTGCTCCACTCCTGCTTTGTATTAAATTTTTAATTGAATGTTAATGCCTGACCCTCTTCAAGATATGCCAGATAATCCAACTATACCTAGAAGGGCAGAGTCTTATAGGAATAAGCAACTCCTTCAAGCACAATATAGTTGGAGTGGGGAAAAGAACAATTCCTAAGACATGAGGTGGTACTAGACAGACAAAACAATATTGTTCCCACTGTCAGCCCAAATGATGATTTTACTAGCATTGTTCAACCAGAGGATATATCACAGTTGTCATAATGGCTCTGCCTCTACTGAAATTTAATGGGTAGGGCCAAGGTTGCTAAACATGAGTGAGAAACACAGAAATAAGCAAAGAGGAAGAGGGAGAGTATTTTAGGCAGGAAAATGGAATAGGTAAAGGCACAGAGACATGAGTGATGATAAGACTTTCAGGGAATTGCTCAACTAGTGGTTTTATGACGATGGAATGGAAGGTAGGAGATAAAGTGTCAAGGTTATTCAATTAAATTTAACTCAGTAAGGATCTACAGAGTGTCTTTTTGGAGCCTGAATAACTGCTAGATAATGGGGTAGAGAGAGAGAACAAAACCAGGTACATTCCTTTGAGGATAAAACATGTACACAAAGCAGATTTTGATGAGTGCTACAGGAAAGATATGAGATCTATGCTCTGGAAGCAAGATTATAGCAGACCTTTAGACACGATATAATACAGTCATTCGTTCACTCTACAAAACTTTATTGAACACTGCGGTAGACTGTTAGAATGATCATAGTTCTCTGTGTCCTCTCCCTTTTTCGATGTGGTTTTGCTACACTTCCCATCTAATTCTCAGTCTCTTAAATCTGGGCTGTCCTTGTTACTTACATTGATCAACAGAATATAGTGAAAGTAACATTGTTTATAAAGCTTCTGAGGCTAA